TGGCTGCTGTTTTGAGTTTTATTATTAGTCATTTCTTTGAGAGTAATCCTATTAAGCAATTATCATTAAGGCGAATTGAATTATTCCCGCAAGATTTGAATTACCTATCTTTGGAATTATTATAGATGGGATCGATGTACTTCATTTAAAGTTTGAATCGTGTTAATTAGAAGATTCCTAAATTAAGATCGCCGAAGGAATAATAAGTGAGTTTCGTTGAATTAATAAAACAAACAAATCGGCGTGGTTAAAATAGCGAAAGATTTAAAAAAATAACTAAAAATTCTAAAATCCGCTTGGTCATTATATTTGATTAAATAGGTTAGTGCGTATTCAAAATTGTATTGCGTGGATTTGAATAAAATATGCATTTAATACATCACAATACTATTCAAATTAATTACTCGTGTCATTACGAAGCAACAGAAAGCTCAATTAGTAATGTACAAAATATACGCTACTACTAATGTTTAATCCTGGTACTGTGTATGGAATTGTGGCAAATAGACTAATATCACAATGAGAATTAATTTTCTGCTGGCCATTCATTCTCAAAAGACTAATTTTCGTATTGAAATACATACATACATGAACATGGTATCAAACATACATTTACTTTCATCATTCTGTTTCAGATCATTTTCATTTGACTACATTTGTAGATGTTTTTAGGCTACCATTTAATTCATTACTTCTTCTCCATTTCATTCATCAGCTTTCTGATTGTTGTTTTGTGATAAAATTTTAACGAATAATTTTATTTTGTTTTTCCAGAGGAAGACGACCATACAAGTGAGTATTAAGACACAATTTTATGTGTTTTACGGTAAAAAAAAACTTGCATGTATTCGGTGAAGCGGTTTAATTTAATCATTTTTTTTTGATTCGATTACTTCTAACTTTCTTTTTGCTAAAGTTTGTTAAATGTAATTTTCAATCTCCCGCCCATCGGAGAGATATTTGATTGCAATGAAATTTCCGAATATTTAAAACTAGACGTTTAAGAAATAGTCCGAGTTGGAGAAGTATTTCTGTTTTTCTTTTTTTTTTTTTATTTTTTTCTCGTCGAGTCGGATCTAGCTCTCACAGCACTCCGCCCGATTCAATTCCTCTACTTTTAATTAATTCCGAGTTTAGCTACCTATATCATAAGTTATTTTTCATTACGGGTTTTTGGTGGTGCTCTGAGTCTTAATTAAAATTGAATTTAATTAGTTTGGAAAGAAAAGATTCCCCAGGAAAATTTCGTGAAGTGCGGAGATACTCTCCAACTTTTGGAAAATATGACTGTTTTCTTAATTGTGTTTTCCGCCAAGGAGTTTATAAAGGGATATAGGGATTATTGTCTGCACTCACTTCGGATAATTTCGTTCTGTTTCAATTTATAAAGAGGAATTATTAATCTATAATAATAAGTTGGGCTACATACGAAACTTCGGTAATGAATAGGAAAAACGGAATTAACTTTGAAATTTAGATTAGATTAACTTAGTGGGGAAATGACAGAAAAAAATAATAAACTTTAATAGAATAATAGCATCATTGTTTGTGTTCACTTAGGGTAATTTCGTTTTGTTTTCATTTTATAAAGAGGTATTTTATTACAAGGTTCACAAATTTTCAATTACTATAATATTATATTATCAACTGCTAGTAAATTTTAAATCAGAAAAATTAATCAAGGAATGTCAAGGAACTTGATATATTTCGCGTTTTTCAGGAGCTTAATTATGCGCATTTGTATATACAAATATTACTAAAAAAAGATATTTTTTTCAAGATGTTGTGGGCCTTATGAAATTCGAAATATAACGTTGGCGATGAATCGTATAATTAAAGGTTTAACTTCGGCAACTTTTTAAAGAAGGCCCTTCGCTGATTAATTAGCACCTCAAAAACGAAATTCCGATGAATTAAATGGGTCTTTTAGGAAGTTTCGAACTGTTTTGGTATCAAATCGATACTCAACATTGTTCGGAGTTATATTTCAGCTTAACCTTAAATCTTCATTGTGTATTCTATAATTAAAACGATTCAATTCCGAGAATCGATTGATGTCCCTATTCAAAAATTCATTCAAAACGCCTTTTTTATACCGGTACTAATTACAGTAGTTTTTCTAATCGATTCCTTTAATATAGGCGAGTTTCGTTTTAACCAACAATTACAGTCGAGCAATGATATCTCGGAAATAAAAGTAAATAAGTAAAATCTTTTCACGGAATAAGAGCGGAAGGATTTTTAAGGAATGTTTTAGAATTATGCCGGAAATGTGGGCAGTAATTTAAATTAGTAATTTGGTTTCGTACCTCTGATTTTGTCACGCCCGAAAAAAAAAGTAAATTACAGTAATTTTTTTTCATTTCCATTTAGAAAAAAAAAAATTAAGAGCCGCGATTTTTTTGTCTGCGATACGCTCCTGGTGAAGTGCGAAAGAAATTATTCTCCCTCGATGTTTTCCTCGCACTAAAAAATATCGCTCGGAGATGGTTCTTGACTTACCGATATTATAGAAGTAAGATTTATCCAGGATTAATTTTATTCCTTCTTTTTTTTCTTTGAGCGCGCTTGTTCGATCAGGGAACGTCAAAAAAAATGTAATAACTTTCCCCTGTCTTTCCCTTTAAAAGGGATAACTGTTTCTACACTAACAACTTTTGTCTTCGCGAATTTTATCGTTTTGTGTAACCTGGTTATAAATTTTGCTCTTATAGGGATCAACCCGTTCCTCTTGAATAATGCTTTGTCAGAATAAACAAAATTGAAGGGGAACTAATATTTTGCCGGTTAGAAGGGAATTTCTAATATTTCGTCTAAAGAATTTTCAAATGAATGGTAATTCCACAAAATTAATTACCATCATATATCATACAACATTCGAATTATCAATTGTTATTTGTAATTGTAGGTAGGTATAATTATTTGCTGAAGATTAAGCATTTGCGGATATTAATCAACTGGGGAAAAAGGATTATTGATAAACTAAATTCTTAGATGAAATAATAAGTACATGTAGATGTAGAGAGAAAGGACTGTAGATGAAAATTCTGGCCTTAAATCTACAAAGAAAGCCAGTTATAAAAGATTTTCTTTATGTAACTGTAATTTAGGAATTTAAAATCCGACCTCTTCGTTTTACGGGTAAACCCTCAAAGGCACGTATTTTTGTAATTTAATAAATTCACTTCTGAATGACTTTTTAATTCTCTTAATAACTATAAAATGTTCGCGATAAGACTTTTCAACGTCTAATTCCGGTATTTTATTTTATTTTTATATTTGACTTCCATCTTATTAAGATTTTTATTTGTAAAAGCTTTCGGTTGCAAATATTGAAAAGGGCAATGGGAACTTGTTATTAAAATAAAAAGCTCTTAAATTTCTCTTGAGGGCGCTTTTTATTTCGACAGTAAATTTTAATAAAATCCCGTTTTCGATTGACCGAATGAATGAATGAATGAATGAATGAATGCGAACGGGGGAGGGCGGGATTCTCTCATTTGTATTCTCTCCAATCGGCGATAATTATTGACTAATTCGATCGACCGCATCATTCAGCATTTTATATACCGGTTTAATAAAATGTATACCGGTCGGTTTCGTTAATTAAAATAGAGCGGAAAGCTCATCATAGATGCACGTATAAGTTTCTAATATTTCCGGTATATTACCTTGCTGGCTTTAGCTTTAATAGAGCTTTTCAATACATGCGGGCAAAGCACGTTCTCTGACCGAACACAAGCTTTCTGTCTTTAGGGATAAATGGTCAAATATAAATGAAGTGACCCACATACCATCTAATCTCATCCTCGGTTTCACCGCTAGACAGTAGCGGTTTGAGGCGAACATCTAAATCGGGAAAGCACAATGGGCCTAAATATAAGCAATAATCCTTTCTCCTTTCCCCCAATAATCGATTCGCTTCGACTCGACTCGACTCGACTCGTTCTTTAAATTTTGCTATGCCATTAACAGCTTCCGTTTGCTATTATTTAACGAGAATGTTAATTGCTGCGTTAACCCTTGAAAGAGCTTCTTTAGTTTCGAAAGTATACTGGAAAATAGCAATTAACTACTCAAAAGAACGCTGCGAATAGACGAAAACTGAAACTCCGATGATACAACCAGTTTTTAGCTTTAGGCGCTATTTTAATTAAACAAAAACAATTAGATTAGGTTCAGTGAAAAACCAGCGTAAACAAACCGAGTCAATACCGTTCCGAATAAATTCCATCCTACTAATTTCGTTACGTTATTTATACATACATACATAAATACCACATCCCAGTATTCGATTATACCGGGTGACTAATGATTCCTATTCTCTATCCGAAATAACATTGGAAATTATGAACGATGATTTTATTATTGCAAAATAGCCGCGTCCGGTATATGAACGAATTGGTATAAAGCTTTTCCGCTTGGATGTTTCGTTCATTTTGTAACAGACCCAACCGATTATTTCATTAAATATCTACACGCACCCGGAATTAAAACGTTCGGAATTTCCACTGGTGGACCCTAAGAAAATTATATTCGGATTTTTGAAGCGGCCGATTAAAGTTATGTGAAAGGTTGAAAGATGATGAGGGAATCTCATCGTTGTTTAACCCTAACTTCAATTAACAAGCAGGAGGTGAAAGTTTCGCGCACCTGCGAGAGAAACTAGTTTTATGAAGCGAGATTGATTCCTGCTATAATTTTTCTGAAAGCCTCCCTCTAAAATAAGGGAAAACTTCAAAAGAGGTAAATATATCGGCTGTCTGGTCTGATGGGATTGACTGACGCGAGATTTAAAAGCTTTGCAAGTGAGTATAAATCTTTCACACACCAAAGAGCCAAACTAGATCTCAACGTTATAAATAAAATGAATAGAACCTGAAGAGAAGTAGTCGCGACGCGGCTTTCTTGAAAGAGGTTAACCAAGAATGAAAATATGATGTTAAACTTTAAGCAAATCGATGCGACTCGCAGGCCAAGGATTAATTGAAACTGAAAGGATGCAAAAATCAGACGTTTGCGGTACGAGAAAGTCGAAGGAAATTGGATTTCCTTGCAAATTACTAATGGCATAATAGGCTCTTTCATAAATCCGAAAAAAAAAACTTCTACATCAAATATGTCAAGCGAAAGAAAACACGAAATACATTTTCGAGACCCGACCATTTATATAACTCTTTTGTCAGCAATAAAAGGTGAAAAACTGACCATATTCGTTCTGTAAATGTTGTGTAAAGTTATACAAACGACGAGATGTATTTATTGAAACAATCTATTCGGAAAAGCCTTTATGTATTTCCCTTCAAAAATCCACCCGTCGATAAATTTCAAGAATATTTCCGCAGATTTGACTATCGGAAATACAAAAAAAAATATTCAAAAACGTTTACACTCGCTCTTAACTAGTCTTAACAGCTGAATACAAACAAACAAAGTGTGTTCGAACGTACATATGTACATAAGCGTTTCTTTTCAAAAATTGAATATCCCAGCAAACGTGTATAATGTGTCTTTGAAGCTGCCTCGCATGAATCACAATTCGCCATATTGCTCCGGCAATGGTTCATATCCCGCCCGTTTATTACTAAAGTTCCAAACGTGCAATGCTATTTGGCACTTTTTATGCGAATGAAATTTTCAGACGTTACGTTTTCAACTTATAAATTAGGTAAACGACTCGCGAAAAAAATCTCATTCTTCTCTCTGTTTCAGGGATAATGTGCCCACAACATACGACTAGCACATTTTGTGACCACATTATTCAGCTAGCAGGTAAGCCTATACATTTTAATTTTATTACACTTGAGGGAAGGGCGATTTAAAAAAAAGAGTATTTATTCATGCGCGTATCATAAGGTAGACAATATAAATTCAAGATTGGTTCATGCATGTATCTGGTCGGAAGATATTAATTCGCGAATGAAAAATTTAGGGACATTTTAATTGCTTTTCCAATTTTTTTGCGGTATAAAGAGCCGACGCCCACGCATAAATTAAACGTCTGCGTGCACTGGAAGCGATTTTATCCCTTGCTTATACATTTTAAAAAAAATTACTAGCGTAATTGGACCCTTCTCTTTCGTCTGGCCGTGCCCAAGTCGGGGCATCGGAGGAATTTCGCGTTAGATAAATACAGATTCAGCAAAAATCCCGACCGTTTTCGGTGAGCGATTTCTTTGATTTATTTTTATTTCAGGATAAAGGCGTTGACATTTTTCAAATGTTTGCGCATATTTATGGTTAGTGTGTTTGCTAGGAATAGCGGATTTCCTCGAAATATATATGTAGCACAATTAATACTCGCAGCCTGGAAAATCCCCGGTGAAAAATGTTACACGAAATAAATTTACACCAACTGATAAACGCTAATAGAATCACGAATAGTTTTCTATCTTCGTAGAGAGATCATTAAAATTCATCCAAATTCCTTAAAATTAGAACGATTCGATTCTCCAACTCTATCATCGTCTTCTAAACATCCCAAAGTTCCGAACGTAATTCCCATTGTTCGTCGTCGGACACAATTCGAGGGAAAATCAGCCGGTATTTTCCGATGAAATATTTCATAACGAATCAAATAGGAGCATCCCGAGAACCGATCTCGGACTCGTTTGTGATGTGTGTTCGAGCGTCAGTCGAACAGTTCACCGAATCCTCTTGGTCCCTCCTGGTCGCGACAGGAAAGTGTCGAGATTGTCGAGTATATTGAATTTCCTACACGTCATCATTTTTGCTGGGCCGTAATGGTTTATAAATGATAATCTTGGAGGATTTGTAATAAGCTCCGGCTGCAGCGTGCGATAGACAACATGTCCATCGAACGGGTCTGTTCTAACAAGCAGGATGATCGGGAATTGGTTTTCACGGAGGAATAACTCGACGAATCGGTTTTGGGGTTTTGTGTTGTCCCGCGACAATAACCGGGTACTACTTATTTTATTTTTATTCTTTATTAATTTAGTATTGTTTGTTGTATCCCTGCAAATTTGCTCTGTGTAAAATCGATAAACTATTAAATGTAATTACAGAACATTAACGTTACACCGTTCAGTAATTTGGTGTTCAAATTTTGCGGAATTTATTGCCGTAATTTATTAATAATTGGGCAATAACGTTCAAAAGGAAACAAATAATTCTAATAAATTTGTTTAACAGATAATAATAACGCCGAACAATTGATACAAACATCAATTGCTGATTAATTGTTGGTAATGATTTTATTTCGATTATTATGTAGTTACGAAACAAGCTTTAATTTACTAACAATATTAACATTTGACATTGGATTTTACATATTTTATATTTATACTTGGAGAGGAAAACGAATTTTTAAAGTTCGATAAATCGTTTTTCTGTCGATATATGCATACTATAACTTTTCATAGTCCGGGTTATAAAATTCTTTCGGAATATTATAAAAACCCCTTTCATATATAATAACGGAAAAGCTATAAAACTTCATTTTGTGTACATTGTAACGTACACAAAAATGAACTCATGACACGTAGGACCATTTAACTCGAGCCCATAAATACACATGTTCGTGTAAAATTAAAATTTAATCCAAAGTTTTCATTGGGCTATTGTTTAGAAGACCGGTTTAAATAATGACATCATACGGCCACTTTGGTTTGTTTAACAAGGGTCCTCGCAATTTCGAACTTTTCTCCACGTTTAGATTTAGCATTGGATCGGACAGAGGTTGATTAAATATTTTATGAAATCTAACTTGCCATAAAATAGGGACAATCCATCCAGTGCTGGACTCGCTCGCAGCCGTTTCGAAATTAAATTTGCGTGCGAACGGAATCTCGTAGACGATTAAAAAAAAAATTTCTAATTATAGTTTTTGAATTATTACCTGGAAATTATCAAGTGTAGAGAATTAGGAAGTAGACATGGCATGATTAGATAGCATAAAACACACGGACATAAACCAAACGAAACCCCCACACATTTATGCGTTTGCTGAATCCGCTTTGTCCTTACAATTAGTATATCTAATCAGGATAAACATTCATTTTATTACCCTCTATCGTGTCTTTAGAAAAATAGAAACTGGGTTAATTTATTTACCATTGTGCACCCAACGTTTAGAATTATTGCAATTATCATACGAAACACCTGTTACTTGTAGAGATATTTTTAATTAATGGAATAATGAAGCCTTATATCTTATAATAGAAATCAAATCACTCCAACTAAAACGATATTAAAAGTTTGATCAATTGTTTTTTTTTTCCACCTTAAATTTCTAATTAAAACTTGGAGAGGTCGAACGCAACAAATATCATTTAAACTTCAACTTTTCTTTTCCTTCGGCTCATTTTTCACGGCGTTACAAGTTTAGAGAAACAGTCAGAAGAGTGAAGTTCTCTAACAACAAAAAGAAGAACTTGAAAAATACTTAAATTTTTACAGATACAATTTTATTTTGCTACCTATTTCATCGAACTCATCGAAAACACCGAGCAAAGTTTTCGAATACTCTTATTGTGTATCTCGTTATTACATCTGCAGATAGATGTTTGTTAATTATGCAAAATAAACAACACTGCGGGGTAATGTTTATCCTATATATATATATATTTTTTTTGGATACAATGCTGATTTATGGAAATATTTAAATCTGAGTGGAAAATGCTTATCATCCGTTTAATATTCAGGAAAGTATTATTCGGTAGAGAGTAAATTTAACTGTTCACTAATGTGAGACCTTCTCACAACCGACGTCATTTTGTGGGTCTTCTAAAAACTGGCTTGGCAAATGAGGTCAGATAAAAGAGAATAAGCAGGAACGGTCGAAATAATTAAGTGTTTTGGCAAACACGCCGAAAAGCTGGTTTAACAGAAATTTAGTAAAGTACTCCCAGTATTAGCATTTTATTTTTAATGGTACAGCGGCCGGCCATTAAAATTAATTTAAATATCGGTACATTCAGTTGGCTCGGCTCGTTCATCATCAACAACCCCAAAGCAAAGAGCTTTATATAAATTATATCTAAATGAAAGAACATTAAATTATACTCGATGAAAAAATTTATTTCACTAACTTCAAACTAATTGCTTCAAATTTATCGTAATAACAGGTCAAACGTAATTACTACACTATAATAATTGTACGTCAAATATAATATATTTTTCCAAGTGTTAAATCGACTGTTAACGGTTAGAGAGGTGCGTGCTAAAGTCTCCGATCATTAGAGGGTATATTTATGCACGGAAACCAAAAAGCTAATTGTTTCCAAAGTCCCAAAGCAAAAAATTATCACGTGTTTGTATTCCAACACGCTACCGCCCACAATTAGATGTCATTTAGGCTCCTACACGAATTTCCAATAATACTCCTTTCCCTATCACAGTTGATAGGAATCTGTCCTTGATGACTTGATAGCTTTTCAACCATTACCGATATTTGTTTATAGTTCATTTCGGAATGAATGGTTCTTTGTTAAAGGGGTTAGTCCGTTTCTGTAACAGGTCCATGCCTAATTAGTTACACCATGGTATCACAATTCGCACATGCGAGATTACAGTAATGTTTTCGTGGAAATTGCAGGGAAATGGCATTTTACTCTTGCAATAGCGTGCTACTGGGTTCTTTCATTAAGCGAAAATAATCATTAAATAATAATCCGCATGATATTTTACAGCTGGTATATATTTAGAGCAAGTCGTTGGTTTTTTTTTTTTCTTCAACAAAGGAAATATTGTTCATCCGCACACAATCTCACTGCTTCGTTTTTCATTTCCAGATAACACACAAATCCAAACCGACCATATTCTAGTCAAAGCTGATCACAACCAATCCATACCATGCATCGGAGCCAACGAGCAATCGCTAGTGAACAGCCTCCAGTGGATCTCTCTGTCCCACGATAAGAAGATCCTCGAGTATTCGAAAAATTCAGCAGTCGTGGTCTACGACGATCCCAATCGCATCGGCCTGGCCAAAGACTACGGGATGACCATTCACCCGGTCAGAGCCTCCGACACTGCTGATTACATTTGCCTCATAAACGGCCGTCCTGAACCAGATGGAGTCGTCCAACTCAGAGTTATGGGTAAGTAACTGTGCATAGTTTTTTACGCGAGAAATGTAAATCGCGACGACGTCGTTAGCGAGCGTTCCAGAAACGAATAAAAACCTCTATGAGTGACGAAGGGAAATGAATTTCAGGAATTCTATACGACTGGTGCAGGTTTAAAAATGTTGTCTACCGCATCTGTTGAACAATAAAATTCGCGCCGGTAAAGGTTACACCGGTATCTATACGATTTGTGCTAACTTTTAATTATAAAAGTTTACCGTATTTGCCGATTGTTGGTTCGCGTTTATCAGTCTAGTAGATTTTCGAAGATAAATAATACAATATAATCGCTTTGTTGCTCTCGGGGATTTCACGATTTTTTTTTTTAATGCAAACGCGTTTTATAATTCGATTAAAAAAATGTATGTAGAGGTATACTAATATTTCGTTTGAAGCTAGAGTTGACTAATTCAGTCGCCCGTGTAGTAAGAAACAATTTGATTAGTTACACGAGCGAGAACTGACTAGGATAATTGTCGGGAGATATTTTGATAGAGAAAAAGGGGGGAAATTGGAAATTTCTGTAATTCGATTCGGTAGGAATACATTCTGAAAGGACGGAGTTAATGAAGTAATTCTCGTAAGTAACTTATTCTCATCCCTTTTCGCAAAACGTTATCAATGGCCTAACAAACAAGCAAAATGCCCGGCGTTCCAGCCAGTTAAATAGCGTTAAATAACCTCTGGCTTGACTTATTTATTTTCGTTCATTATAATTGCGTCGTCCCTCAAAAGTGGAACCGGATGAGCAGATAAATCGAATTTCTAAAACGGTCTCCTCTACTCTATCTCTCGCTAATTGAAACTGCTCGTTGATTTCGATTTTTCATCTCGTACCGATCCGAGCAATTACGGGAAATATCTGGAAAAATTTAATAACAACGTTTTCACAGCGCGTATATATATCTTTTAGCGATCCCATTGAGCATTCTTGGTAGATTTAATGATGATTACGGCCAGCTAGTATTTTCGGTCTGATAAACATTCTGAACAATGTCATTTGAAACGGGATAGAAAATGCTGGAATAATAGACCCTTTCAAGTTTAGTGTATCGGTATTTTACAGCACAGCTAGTAGTGAATAGAACCATTTTGAATTGGAAAAGGATTTTCTCCAATCACCGTCTAATGGGTACATGGCGGCTTCTGCGAACGTCTTTTTTTTGTATTATTCTTTTTTTTTATATATACTTTTCCAAGATTCTTAATTAAATATATATACATTCTTAAATGCGTATCCATCGAATTTATCGATGCGTTAGATAATTAATTGCCCCCGTAAAATTGTTAAACGGTTTTGCTTCTTTTTATGGTAATTTTGTTAATGTAGTTCCGAACAATAAAGCAGTCCACTTTGGGTAAAACGGAAGGAATTCTTGGAGGCATTCCTGCGCTACTTTGAATATTTTCGAATAATCCGCTGTAAGAGAATAATCACTTTGGAGTATGTTTGCTTTTGCCTAAAACACGAGAACTTCCACGAGCAGTTATTCAAATATTTGAAAGTAATTAAAATAGATTCCGAGAAAATTACTAATTACCTATGTAAATTATTATTCATTGGCATGATTAAAGTTCTAGCTATTATTATAACGAATATACCTAAATGTATGATCACTATAAAGTTCATAATTCATTCCTTTGTTACCTATTGATACACAAAAGGCTTTCATTGGGTATTTAAAACAAAGAGTATATGGTTGAATAGTATTGCAAGTAGTTTTAATATTTCATCAATTCTATTACCACTTTAAACCCAAAGTATATCTACGTAGGCGTACTTAAAAATTCGAAAAGGAACAATTGGAAAATATTACTCAGGACTTCCTTAGTGTCAGTTGGTACAATCTAAAGGATTAAACAGGATATATAAGACATCTTGTACGAAAGTAGTAGCAAGGCAGTAAGTCAGGCGCGAAGTAGCAGACAAAGACGAATTACAAGATAACACACAGTTAAGGAAAATACCGGCGGAATCTGTTTAAACTAGAAGTTCATATCTTTAATGCGTTTCATCGATCGCCTGAAAAATTTAATTAACTTTAAAGAATTATTCGCTGAATGGTTTAACTTAGTTCCACGAGAAGTTGGGAATAACTAAACGAAACATTCGTCGATATTTGAAGTGGAAAGAACATGGCATAACACATGTCGAAAAAGAAAATTTAACTACATATAAAAAGTTAGGACGGGAAACAAATTTGTATAGTTTGTTTCCTTTAAAGGTGTGTGTGTGTTGAAATATTGAAAAGTTTTAATAGAATAAAGTCTAAAATAAAACCTTCTCATTGAAAGTTTCGACTCAATATTGAATTACAAAAGAATTTATCAAATTCGAGCAGATCATCTATCACACAAGCACAACACTACATCTTAGTTATATCGTAGTTTGGATTTTTATTTCCTCTTTACCGTTTTCTTATAAGTTCCAATCATATTAACCGATACATCAATAATAAATTGAATAACGTGATCGATAAAAAAATAACTTTGTGTTTATAATAATTGTTAGACATTTTAAGCCGGGTAGTGTGTGTGTATGTCTTTGAAAGCAGCCATCTGGAAACGAGCTTCAGCCGGTGCACTTTGTATAGACCTTGGGGTGTAAATTGATATTTTGTGAAAGTATGCACAAAATCAATGAACCTTTAAAGATTATGTATCTCCATGTAGGTTACATACATGAATGATTTACCCACAGCGCATTTGATGTAGGTGGTGCTATCGCAAAATTAGAATTTGGTTGATCATCCAGCGAAAAATTGTCAATTTGACCAGAATGACCTTTATGCGTAGGGAAAAAATGAAGGGATAAAAAAAAAATTAAAAAATTCCGCACATGGGTTTTCTTCGCATTTACGTAAACCTGCAAACACATCGTTAAATAGCAGATTACAATTTGGATGACAGCGGATTTGCTAATCTGAACGTGTGTGAATATTTGATTTATCATAATGGCGTCAATACATGCAAAAACGTAACCAAATCATTGATTATTACTTTTGCGATGACACGTTACATGAAATATTCCCTAGCATGATCAATTTGGATACAAATTCTGTTCAACAGAAATTAAAGCCGGCTCAGGCCACAGGTTGTCTGTCACATTAAAAAATTTTATTTTCCATGGTTTTTAACACGCCGGACTAAATAGCAATTAAAATTTATTTTATTGTCATTAATAAATCGAATATTCGATATAAAATTTTTACGCCCGTAATTAAACCTACTCGACACATTAAATTCCTATTTATTCAAATCGTTCAATTTAATATTGACGGTTACTCCATTGCAATGTTTATGGAAAATGTTCGACTCGATTTTCTACAAATTCGCATTACACCAGCGAAATCCTAAAAGGATAAGTGAAACAAAAATTCATTCGCGATATTCGCCAACGAATTTTAATTAATTTATATCGTTTTAATGAAATTCGATTTTGCAATAAAATTATAGTTTATTTAGCAGGCGGAAAAATGATTCCCAGCACTCGCTACGGCCTCCATTCATCCGTAATTGACTAGTACATCTCTCGTATAAATGGTTTTCTTTGCAAATGGAATTTCGCCGGTTACATATTTGAAAAATCTTTTGTAAAATTCCAAGCGCATATATCTCAACGTATGAACAATGCAAAGCCGATTTCAACGTACACAATGTTCGCATGATATATGCTAGTATTAAAACCCTCACTCATTCGTAAGACTCGTTGCTTGCTGCATTTAAATTAATGAGCCTCGTGGATTAGTAATGACTAGCTCGTACGCATCTCCTTTGACGGTGTAACTAATTTTCGAAATATTTCAAGTTTTCATCCGCACAAGTTTCTGATTCAAACAGAATGCAAATAGCGTGTCTATATGCGGTAAAAACGGCTTTTCGCTGGGTAAATTCGCAAAACTACAATCATAATGTCTATTTATTTACAAGCCGATATATATATTTTCGGATTAGATTAATACACGAGCGCGAAATATTCCAAGAGGTCGTTTGAACGATTTAACTTTAATGCATTTCGAAACGTGCCGTCGGGAGAACAACTTTTAATATTATATGAGGCTAAAACAAAATTAATGTTTTGGGTGAAATTAGAAAAAAAAGGAGTGAAACCATTTGGGGAGCAGAAATGGGAAAAGGAAAGAGATTAGCTCAATTACAGATCGCGGGGGGAGCGATAAAAATGTAAGGGATTGTTTAATGTTACGAAAAAGGAATCGAATCAGATTTAATCTAAATTTCTACTTTAGTTTATACGCGCGCGGTATTTTTCGAATTATTTGTTAAACATTCTAACGTAATTAACACTAACGGTAGCCCTAAAAAATAGGTGCAACTAATTTCTTTCGTAATTTAGAAAATTTATTGGCTTACTTTTCACATGTTAGATATCACTGATTTAAGAGCGGTAAATTACAGCGTCGGGTGTGAAAAACCAACAGCGCAAGGTACAAACTTCCCGCTTTGTTAACGCCTTGCTAAATCAAGGAATTATATTGAACGTGCAGTGGACTAAAGCCCAACATGGCTACAAATCAAAATTTTCCACGCGTGGCCGCGCCACCCTGAGATTATTAGTAGTTTTCCCGGGTCCCAATGTCCCTTCGGCCCTTTTCTTTTTTTTTTTTTTGAATCGTCTGGATATTTTCCGCAGCCATTTGTATCAACGGGATAATTGTTAAATATATATACATATGTGTTTGTAAAGCATACTGTTTGATCCACCGTTAACCTACTTGTTTATGGAGCTGTGATAAATATATAACGAACAGAATTAATTCCGATTGATTAAACCGAGCGCAATCCGCTTCCCCCCTTATTACCGTTATGGAATTAGTAAAGAGAGCATTAAAAATCCGCGCTAATGAAGTGAAATGAAGTGTATATTCAGCATACATATGTTCGATAAAAGACTAATTGACCGCTTGTAGTGGTTACGCAAATATCCTGATCACCCCAAATTCACTCAAAACGGCGGAAAACAATTTCGCGTTTTTCGATTCGGCTGACGAATGTCGATCGACGATTACCATACGGATTAAGTATTTTATTTTTTTATTCCTGTTTTTAACAGAATATTTATTGCTTGTTTCAACATTGTAAATCTGTTGTAATTAAAAACGAAACTGTACCGACGATCGAAACTAATGCGATTTGCATATTGATGCGTTTGTTATCACAAAATTGATTTGAATTAGAAAATAAATAATAATATGATGAATGAGTTTACCTTACATGTGTCGCCTATGCGTGGCGAAACTCTTAATATAGCACTTCGTTTCATCGAAAAACTTCATTTAAAAGGCAAGTGGTCTGGCTAATCCGCATCGTGTCGTTCTTGTTAAATTACAAGCCCTTAAACACGAACGGTAATCTCGAAAGTTTTTTTTTTCGAGAACATCTTAATAATCCTATATATGGCATACTAGTGTTTCCGATCTCATCCAAACCACCATTTTCATGTCATTTAACCTTCTAGACGATTAATCATGAGATAAATGATCCGCCGAAAAAATAACAACCATACTGTGGAAAAACCTTATGATAATAACAGATTTATCACTTTTTGCACACAAAGTTGTTTTCTCTCTCGGTTGGTAGATCATTCCAAGATTTCATTATTTATTGATGATATTTTATTCGATATCGGCGAGCAAGTTTGTTCTTTTGTAAATTCGTGATTGGTGATTCGAAACAAACGCTTTTAGAATAAAACCCCTGCGAGATTTCAAGGGAAACTCGCTGCATGAATGCCATCTGTTGGAGGAAAATGTGTCAACTAAATTACACGGCCATACACCAATAAAATCGAATTTTTTTTTCTACCGGCGCGTCCTCCGCCCTGGAAATTCAATGGGTTAATTGCAGTTTGATCCTATTGTTAATTATTAGCTATCCGGATTTTCCGGATTGCATTTTTTCGACGTGCTGCTAATTACCGCCGCTTTGGTATTCATTCTACCGCGCAATCTTTTTTTTTTGTTCCGTTGAATTGGAATCAAACGCATATAGCGGGGTAAGTGGAGTGAATATATACACGCGCAAGGTTTCGGCCCAAATAATATTTTTCATACAAAAATAATAAATCTTTCGAAATGGAGAACCTCGAAGATGATCGATGGCGGTTAATGGAATTCCCGCGATTTCGAAAAAGTTTTAATTGGCAGTCAACTTAAGACAATTGCTGAAATCTCACTCTCTTTCTCTCACTGAAATTATTTTTAATCGCGCGATCCAATTTTGTTAAGTAAAATCGGATTGACAGTTTGAATGATGCGATTATTATTCGTTCCCTCGCTTCGTTTTGTACCTATGCCTATAGGTTTTAGATTAAGACATTAGCATGAATTAAACTGCGACTCTTTTTTTTTTGAATTGCAGACATCACCGACCCACCTGGTAGGCCATTGATCACCAGCTTCACCTCCCGAACGGCTGACATCTCTTGGGCATCACCGTCCAACACTCACTTCAGCCCCATCACTCATTACATCATACGCAGCCGGTAAGTGTTTTGTTATTTTATAAAATTATTAAAAGTAATTCGGAAATCCAGCAAGGAAAAAGTAATACAGCGATTGTTACTTTTGCATATTACGTTTCTGAAACAATAAGAGTTGAAACTAACTTCGGTAATTTTTCGAGCAGAACATAATCTTTCTTTTCCATTTTGTTGTTGTATACGCTGTATAAAATCTCTATTATTGCATTCTAAATTACTCTAAGGAGTTCTCCGACATTAATTAAATGCTTTCCTAGTTTGTTGGGAACATCACAGAAGAAATTAAAGAAAAACAATTATTTGTTTTTTCAGCTAATTTACATAACACTTTTATTTAGATTATCAGGATTTCGAACATGCTTGATACAACGACAACTAATTCCATAAATAATCAATTAGTAAAGTAATTTATTCGAAATTTAATCTGAAGAAGAGTTGGGAACCGTAGAATAGTTGAGACGGAGCCGATCCTGTTACTAAATATTTAATCAAACTTGAAGCGTTAGGCGAGTTATTGTATCAGTTACAAGATGAGTTTTCCCCGAAATATATACTCGCAAACTCGAATTTTTTTTCCGAATAAAAACCCGGTTTTATTTTGAAATACGTATTAATAAAAAAAAAGGTATCCTTAATCAGCAAATGCACTAGTTTTTGTAATTAACAACTTCGTGTCGAGCTGAGTTATTTAATGACCAAAGTTCGTTGAACGCTATTGGGAGTTAACGGATATTGCAGTTGTGCTTTTAGGGATAGAATTGCACTTGAAAAAATATATCGAATTTTACGCGGGTCAATTCGAATCGATTAAAAATGTAACAGGCTCGAGTTGACATAAGAAATATTTACCGAGAAAATTGGGTCGCCTCACAAAAGTGTAATCACAAATTCCGACTCAATTATACGAGCTAAAAACCAATTTCGCAAACATAAAGAGTTCGAAAGTCGAGAAAATTTCAACTACTTCTTTAGTTCTACCGATCGTGGGTTATCTAATGGAATATTCAAGCGAACAATCAAACATTTTGCCGGAGATATTACACAATATATTATTGTTAACTCGCGGGAAATGAAATGGTCGTAACGTGACCTTCGTGGAAAACAGTTCACCAACCGTAGATTTGGAAAGTAATTTTAAACAAAATTGTAATGGTCGAGTCGGAGATCCAATAACAACCACTATTCTATCGCTTTTTGTGAGGTTTCCAAGTCTCGAAGGGGCCCTAAATAGCGTCCATTCTTCCAGCATTTTACTCGAGGAATCGTCCTTATTGTTGTTGTTTTGATTCATTAACTTCGCCTCGATATATACCCGGATTTTTTTTTCCAGAAAAAGGGCTCGCTAGGATTTTTTTACGGTGGTTAAAAAACATTATTGCTATATGAAATTAAAAAAAATTGACCGGGAAAGTTGCATTAAAAATCTTATTATTTGTTTCTAAATAAATGGTGGGATATTTAGTGGTAAAAACAGATAAAATAAGCGTTGGATTTGAGATTATTAAAAAAAAATTTCAACCACTACGAAATCGATTTAGGTATATTGAAAATTCAGATCGGCAATGATCAAACGTATTCGGCATGTAAAAGGAGTATTGTAAAATGAATCGAAAAAAAATTATATCTAGTTGTACAAATTAAAATGAAGTTTCGTGTAGTTAATGAAACAATCCAAAAGCCAGGGAATTTAAATGACAAAACCCGGCCATCCAACCCACTTTAAACGTATGTGATGAAAATAAATCTAGGGAAAATATAAAAGTTTTTTAATAAAGGTTTCGAGTTTGAAGTGACTTTCTCTTTTTCATGGCGTAGCCCATTTCGCAATGAGAGTAAGTTTTTTTTGCTAGTTCGCCGTCCCGGAAGATAATGCTTAAAAATGGAATCTTTTTACATTCGCACGGAAATATTACGAGTTATCTTGCTATCATTTATCATTTGCAAGGGATTTACTATGGCGGAACAAGCCGACTTTCATCCTATTAAAAATTTCGCGAAAAAATTATTAATTTTCTAGCGAAGGTTACACGTAAATTGGGACATTTGTCTCTTGTAATTATTTTAGCGGGCATTTTTCAACTCGAATAACACTGAGTTTCTAATTAAGCTCAGCGACCCTAAAATACATTGTTGCAAATATGAGACATAATTTAGAAAACGTACTCCGCTGTGCTAAACGTAAAATATATTATTTTGCGTCGCCTCTACTAGAATAATTACTTTCTAACCACCTACTATTTATTATTAATCGCATTCTGCGCATCTGCATGTTAAATTGCTACACGGATTCCTAACCCTAAATCATACCGAATAAAATTCATAATAAAACGTTTATTCGCAAAAAGGAATAAGCATCGAAGTTTCCAAAGTACAAGTACGAGCAACGAAAAAAAAAAAAAACACACAAAAGCCCAGATATCATAAAATTCGGAATGAATTTCATTAAATTTTGTTTCTCCTCTGGTAAATAGAATTAAAAGTTCCCTTTTGAATATTTTTTTATTCCTCCAAGAAGGAGACGTTTTCATCTCTAACTGCTCCATTCAGATTCATTGTTGGAATAATGTAGCGCAATGAAAGTAGTTTTCCCAAGAATTCGGTTTGGATTTTTAATAATTTGGAAACTTTTAATAGAGATTAATCGGCGGCGCCCGGGGAGGATTCGTCGATTTTCCATAGAATGAACATTTCAATTGCGAACTTTGTTTTCGAATTGCGAATAAAAAAAAAACAATATCGAGGAAAAGTTTCCGATGGTGCTGTTTTAGAAAAAAACGGTCTTAATCTCGCAAGATATCTGCGATTAAAATTATCGCCAGCGTTGCTGCTGTACAGCTTCTATACATTTACAAGCGAAAGGAGGAAATCTTAAAGATTCATTGAAATTTTTAAGTTATAAACCGGCCCGTTATTTGCCGAACGTTTAGATTCCTGTCTGATTGTTCAGTACGCTGTGGAGTAAAAGCATCCCGGCGTGTCATTGCCCATAAAAGTGGAGTGTTTACCACCATTGCGCGCGCTAAAGTGCCTTCCATTCATTTCCGATATTAGAAATACTGAAGCATAAAGGGAATTCCTTGAGGGTAATGTCACGAAAATAAAAGTTATTGACAGAAAATAAATCAGGAAAATAAAAAGGTTCCAGCTCATCTCTTTTATTGATAGTCTCCGATAAAATGAATATTTTTCTAAACTCCCTCGAATTACATTACGACGCGAAATTCCATTCTGCTTTTCACACACATACACCGAAAAATAAAACATTATTTTCCACGGAATAAAAGAATATAACAAAGACGATACACCTACGAAAAATGCCAAAACAAAAAAAAAACATAATGTAACAAATTTTCTCGTTTGCACAATAATAATTACTCCAAATACAGCTTTGAATGAATTAAGTTATTTTACGAACGCCATGCATCTACGTGATAAATCGCAATTTGCGGAGATCTCCCCCGATGTAGGTAGATAAATATTTTTGATCGATAAACTCCTTTTATTTTGTACCGCTACTATTCATCATTCGTTGGTTCTAAAAGGCGTAATTTAAATTATGATGAGTTCGAATAAAATACGCCAAACGGATTTAATTGATGCGGTGTTATTCGCAATTCGCGCCGCGGACAGAACGGAAGACCGAAAGGTTGAAAAAAATTAACGCCGAGCGATCGCCTTTATTTCTTTATTTTTTTTTTATTTTTATTTTCACTTCGAACGAGATAAAGCTTTAAATTTCAGCTGTCTCGTACATCCGGCTGCTTTAATAGGCTCGAAATTATCATCAGGAATGACGATTCGAACAGGTAATGAAATAGATTTAAAAACCAAAATCTCATCTCGAAAGTTGAATTTTTCTTGTATATATAATGAAATGGCGGGAATTTGATTTTTCTCTTCCGAACGAGACTCTGCATTTCTCAAATTTGGAATCGGATCGATCGCAACACGTGCTAGATTAGTAGTTACACGCCGCCATCAGCGCTCCAAAATAGACCCTAAAACGAATGTTTCCCTGTAGATTTCCAACGTTGGGTATTTGCGGGCGCAGGTTCTTCCTGATAAAATTAGGACGAGCATCGTAACTTCTGTCATTAGAATGATATTCGGAAACGAAACGAGCTCTTGCAATAATTTATCTGCAAAATTTCTGTTATATCTCACGCCGGATGGAAGATAAAACGGCTAATTTCTATCTGTTATTGGAAGATAAAATTACCGTTAAACAACTTTTTTTTTGGCGGGTGCTTTTGCTTGTTTTGTTATAAAATTATGTTTACCGATTTGTTTTTTTTTCTCAATTAATAAAAATTCAAATTGAATCATCAAGTCGCTCGAATCTTTCCAGGATATTACATTTTTGCTCGGGGTGGGCCAATCAATATTCAAAAATTCACGATCCATATATACAAATATACGAATTTGCTTTGGTGATACGAATTTAGATATATTGGAAGGGTCCAAAAATGTACCAAGGTTGATTGTAAAAATACATCTAGCTCGGAGTGTTTTACAATACATTATATCGTTCGTATATTGAATTAAAGTTCTGTATATGCGTTTTCACCAAATAATCCACTAGGTGCATTGAATCAGTATTATAAATAAAGCGATATGGAAATGAATTACTTCCAACTAATGGAATTCTACAAACAACTTTTAGTTCGAAAAGTTTCGGCTTATGCACCTGCCTTGGGAAACTTATCAGGTTTAATCTGATGAATGGTCCCAAAAAGCGGCTGCTGTAAACAGAAATCTAATGGTTGCTTTTGGAACATTTACCATTGTTCGCTGCCTCTCGCCATTCATAAGTATAAAACCTTTCACAATATAAAATGGCTTAGAAATTTCGAAAGTGTAATCAACAGCTCGAGCAGCGCCATTTCGTTCCGTGCGGAAGATAAACTTACATCGACACATTCGACATTCGGTTTTTTATGAGAATTTTCGTTTTAATCAATCGGTTGACGAGGAGATCGTTCAATTTTGGAGTTGATGGAATAGTTT